ATCGCTGTATACAAAACGTGTATTTGCAATTTAAAAAGAAATTATATTTCTATTAGGAAGCATTCCATCACTTAAACACGTGTAGTAATCTACATCTATAAACCTATCGTTATAAAAACTAGTTTGCATGAGAAATATCTTAAAATTATGGTCTGACAAGATCCTACAATATCTTACAAGACTCCCATCCTCAGATCTTGCAAGAATCTTATATCAAGAATCATATAAGATTGACGCTAGCATCTTATAATAAGAATCATATTAAATCTTAGAACAAGAAATTTGCAAGATTTCGTAAGATCATACAATCTGAATCTTACAAAATCTAATTGTCAGTAAGATCGTATAAGATCTTATATGATCCTCGTACGATTTTTGCACCTGGGAGGAGCAGAGAAGTATGGTACGTGACGAAATGTCAAGACTCTGGTATTCGCGTCGTAACAAACTCTAATAAACCTGTATATAAAGCAAATGAGAAAAGAATATTACACTACTGAGTTTTTTGTGACATGTCGTTGGTAATAATTTGATAAATAAGCAAGCATGAGTAATTATCATTATTTACATTAAATGTAAACATGAATGATGTTGTTGTTATTTGATTTGTTTTCTTCAAAATATGAAACAAAAAGAGTGAAAATATATTTCATTTCTAAGCGACATTCTTATATAAGACACATAAAGAATAAGAGAATATTTTTAGGAGGAATGAATTCATTTTTCTGAAAAATAAATATTCTTTTAAATTTTTTTGCTTATTTATTTCTGATGTTTTCAGTGAGTTTGTCGAATAGTTTCTTTTGATTAAATGAGTACACATCTGCGAAGTATTGTATTTAATGTGAATATTTTTTTTCAAGTCATTTAAATTTCATGCACAAACATACATCTTCGTTAAGATATTTTCAATTGCAGAGAATGAATGAATCGTATTGACGAAATTTTTAGGAACATGCATTGTTTAATGTTAGACTGTTTTGTTTAGAACGGATAAAAGCTCTACAAAAGAATATTATGTTTCTTCTTGGAGTAGTTTTAATGTGAACAATTGTACAGTTTAGATGTTCATCGATACTGAAAATCTGTCGTGGTCACAGTGATATTCGAAAAACGCTTCATCAGTAACTTGATCCTATTGTATTGAACTTGTTTATTAGAAAAACAAATTTTGTCTTAAGAAAAACGTGTCTTATTTTCCATATACAACATTTATGTCAATAGTAGACTCGCATCCATGATTATATATGCTATTCTCTTCATATAATATATCATGAACAGAATTTCAGCATTTCAAACCAAAAGTAAAGCACAAGAGATCGTGACGAGACATTTTTAATGATAAAATAGACATAATAATCAATGTTTTTCAAAGTTAAAAATTAATTTTTGATATTAATTTCACATAGATATTATGTAATCCAGGTATAACTAACGTGTTTAGAACAAATGTTGTTTTTGCTGTGAAAGAGATAATTAACTGATATATTATAAGATATACCAGCATAGTTGAACGTCATGAAATAAAAATTCTAGTTTTCAATGATCAAATTTTTATTCGGAATTTCTTTTTAATTATAGCACATGATAAATAAAGAAAAATAGAAAGTGTTCGTAAACATGATACGAGTAAAGAAGAAGAGGGACATTCAAAGTAGGTATGAAGAAATGAATATGAAATGGAGAGAGCGACTGCGTATTTGAAATTGTCACACTATGTATACAGTTTTTTATGAAAACCCATATTGATGACGTGGAAGTTTTGTGCAGCTAGATTTTTCATAGTTCTGTAGTTGACACTCAATGGAGAAGCTTCTCTCTTATTCCATTAATTATCATGATTTCTACATAGGATGTAAAGAATACCCAACAATATGCAAATCGATATAATGTTGGATGACAATAGCTGGGCAGGGCCGGTTCAATGTATTGTACTTTACGCCATACCTCAATTACAAGTGAGTATCCGAAAAGGTTTTCTACCAATATACCAAATAAGAGAAAAAACAGTATATTTGCGATGCCTCTTAAACTGAGGGAAAGAACAAAAGTCCTGCAATTGTCCTCAGTGGCTTTAATGGGTGGTTTGATAAAATAATCTGCTATAACACCTTGAACAGGGAGTAATATGATAGCTATAAGTGCGATAGAACTTCCCACAACAAGATAACGTGGTATCTTTGGATTAATGGGACATTCATTTGAATACCGTCCACCAATGACCACCAGGATGACTGTGGAAGAAAAATTAAACATCGAGATAACAAAAATATCATCATGGTCTATATTTTCAACCATTTCCAAATCATAACATGAAGTGAGATACTTCTAAGCATTCACGAAAAAGTTTTTGAGAAGAACTTCGATACATTAGACCGAACTTTTGCCTGCTTTAATTAAGCAACGGCAGTCATACCATTTGTTTGATTTCTCTAAACCGAATCGAATCAACAATCTGACTCTAGCGATTCACTATGGTATTTCTACAGATTTTTTTAATGAGTACTCTATATCAATAGAGCTGAGTTAAGATGATCGGCCATACTTAGCTTTCATATAAAGCACAGACTGGTTGTCCTTCGAGAGTTTGTGTAGTGCACTTCTACAAAATCTCATTCACTACGAAGTCACTTTCGCCTAACAGAGAGGCGGCGGAAATTATTACAAAAAAAGATCCCAGAGTTATCAACATACGATATCTTCTTCGCTCTCATACATTCCTTCAAATTCTTTTCAGTTACAGAGTTGCTGAAAACAAGTTGAATTTTGTCTCAGCTACATCATTAAAGAAAAACATAGACAACTCTGTCTATCGAGATATTTTGTTTTTTATGAAACTTCTATGATGCTTACTTTGTCAATTCTCCTTTTTCATTGTGAAATTGACTATTTAAATTCCGTTCGACATCGAACCTTATATTTGTTAATATACAGAAGTGTACTATCTTTTCTAAATTTGAGCAGTCATCCTACTTCGCTAAGTTGAACATTCCGGAACCAGTTCCGACCCCGGAATCGCTTCCCGCGATTCCGGAATCGAATACAAACTGAGTTCGCAACAATTCCTAGGAATTCCGTTTAATTCGGGAATTCCCCAATTAAACAACACCGGAATTGGTGGGAATTGGTAGGAGTTCCGTTCAATTCCCTCTAATTCCGGAAATACAACTTGTGTTTTTATTCTATCAATCTTTATCGATGTAATGACCATCCGATTCCGCTTAGGAATTCCGCGTGTGGGTGTGGGTGTAGATGTGGGTGTGTGTGGGTGTGGTGTGTGTGTGTGTGTGGTGTGAGTGGATGTGGGTGGCGGAGTGGGTGTGGGTGTGGGTGTTGGTGGGTGCGGGTGTGAGTGGGTGTGGGTGTGTGCTGTGGAAGTGTGGGTGTGAGTGTGTAGGTGTGGGATGAGAAGATATCCACACCCACACCCCACTTCCGCACCCACACCACGCACCCACCCACACCCACACCACACACCCACCCACACCCACACCCACACCCACACCACACACCCACACACCCACACCACACACCCACCCACACCACACACCCACCCACACCACACACCCACACACCCACACCACACACCCACCCACACCACACACCCACCCACACCCACATCCTCCAGGTATAAGCCTCAGCCGATGAGAGTGATGCCAAGGCTGAGCGATTCCGGAATCGATAGGAACTGTTGTAAATGATTCCGGAATCGGATTGTGGTGTGGTTGAATTTAGTTGCGGAATCGGTGGAATAGATTCCGGGACGGGAACTGATTCCGGAATGTTCAACATCGCGGAATGGGATGTATTCTCCTAAACTTGAGTTTTGAAATGTTTTTTCTCTCGACTACCATACATATAAAACTCGAGCAGTCTACTCCAGTTTTAAACTATTCAAATTTTGAAAGTTGAAGGTGAGAGTGAGGGCGTAAACATCTGCATCGGGCGTCCCACTGTCTGAGGATGAGGTCGTAAACACCTACATATGGGGCTTCTCATGGAGTTTCAATAGGCGCAGAACAAAATTTTATAATTCGAATAGTTTAAAACTCTAGTACTCGAATTATAAAGTTTTAAAAGTTTAAAACTCGTAACGAATTAATGATTTCTACACTACTGTCGACTACTTTGGTAATAAATCAGCTTCAAATACGCTTATGCGTAGCATCATCACTCACTGAAAATAGTCGCCAGAAAACTCAAAGCAATGCATACGCTAATTGAGCTAAAAGATCCCATCCATCTTAAGGTTTTATCACGATAAGGGGCGTATTCAAATGATTTCTTGCTCGTTGTCTGCAATTCTAAAACAACGTTGTTGTCGACGTCTGCTTTCTTGTTCATTGGTTGTAGTTCAAGAATAACATTGTTGTCAACATTTGGGCTTTCTTCTTCAAGGATGTTTGCTTTCGTGTTCGTTGTCATTGTGTTTCAATGATTATGAGTAACTGAAAATAAAAGATTGTAAAATAAGATTATCAGCCTAAAGAAAAACAAGTATTGTAACAAGTGGTGAAATAAAATGTATATATACACCTGTAAATGTTTATTCAATGATTAGCTGCTCACGTGGAGTTTCTATTTTTTTCTGCAGACACTGACGACAAATTACTTAGGTCCGTCCAAAAGTAGTTGCGAAGGTATGATAATCCTTCAAAGGAGGGTTCGATAATTTTTTTTCTATACAGTCTGATAGAGAAAAGAAAGCTCTATTTTTCTGTGCTATTTGATCGTACTTTAATTTATATGAGGATAATAAATTTTTCATAAGACTTTTTTCGTTTACATGGTTCCGGGTTGTAAGTTGTACATCGCAGTTTTCATTTACTTGTTAGTTGTATTAACAATCAAAATATGTCATAAGATGCGGCGTGAAAAGCTCTACAGTTTCCATAAAACCATTTATTTTCTAGTTGCACATTTTGTTCTTAAGATAGACTAAATTTTCAGCGACCAAATTTCAACCATGAAAAAGATAATGTTTTTGATACACGACGAATTCATTTTTTGTTGTTGATCATTTTATCACCTAATATGCTTTATCAAAAGAAAAACAAAATACACCAGAAGATGCAGCGTGAAAAGCTCTACAATCTACATAGTAAAGTTTATTGAAATTGTTTTGAAAGAAAGGAAAATTCTATACAATCATTTTTTTACAACGGCCAAAGTTCGATCACTCAAAACGTTGCCTATTTTGAAAAGAAAAAGTACAACTAGAAAATAAGTGGTCTTATGGAAATTGCAGAGCTTTTCACGCTGCATCTTATGGCATATTCTGGTTGTTAATATAACGTATTAGTGGACTAAAAAAACTAACCGGTCTGACTCATTGTGAGCTAGCACAACGAGCAGACATGTTAAAGAAAAAAGTCTTATGAAAAATTTATTATCATCATATTAGTTAAAGTACGATCAAATAGCATAGAAAAATAGAGCTTTCTTTTCTCTATCAGACTGTATAGAAAAAAAAATTATCGAACCCTCCTTTGAAGGATTATCATACCTCCGCAACTAATTTTGGACTGACCTAAGTATATGAGACCTTTCTTTTCTTTTACTTTGGCTACACGAAAAAAGAAGACAGAGATGTCCTAATACCATTACGCGGGGTAATGGCTAGTTACAGGTCAGAATATTCAATAATGTAACCATCATAACTCTATATATATATAAATATAAACTGAAGCATTGAAGTGGATCACTAAAAGCACTCAAAATCCTCAGCTAGGGTGTGGGGTTGTGGGTGGGGTGTAGGTATGGGTGTGGGTGTAGGTATGGGTGTGGGTGTGGGTGTGAACCTTGTCTGCATTTATACCCACATCCACACCCACCCACCCACGCCCGCACCCACACCCACCCACGCACCCACACCCACACCCACACCCACACCCACACCCACACCCACACCCACACCCTGCTCATGTAACTCCTTAAATGATTTCTCATTTTTCATATCATTTAATTGTTCATAAAGTGTTGATATAAGATTCTTTGCTGAACCAAGATCAACACAAACTCCTTTTAGAGAACAATAAAAAGAAAAGATTTCACATGAGAAAAATTGAATTTACCTTTCAACTGATCTGACAGAATTTTTATTGGTCCTAATAAACGATGTAAAATAAACATTGCTACTATAAACATTGATTCCTTCATATGTACAAGCAAACCTCGTGCACCAACTGCACGACTTCCACCATCCTCTACTAAATCTTCAAGTGCTTTAATAATTGCTGGAAAATTATTTTTTATAGCATCAATAGATTTAAACCGAGAATCCCAACGTGTATTTCCCCACTTTTTCAATTTTGATGTTGTATCTAATTGAAAAAAGCGTTGATAAAGTTGCAATAGCAAATTAAAATATTTGATCTTTTTACCTAATTTAAGAAGTTTTTGTGCATCACAAAAGTATCGATTAGTAACACCAGAAGATACGAAATAATTATGAATATTCGATAGAATTGAAAAGAACTCCTCGATATATGGAATAACTAAACATACATGACATATAACTAAATTCAATCTATGGGCCATGCAATGGATATAAATAGCTTTTGGCATAAAATTTTGTTGTAATATCGCATGAACTCCACTATATTGACCTGACATTACAGCAGCTCTAAAAAGAAACTCTGTAAATGATAGAGTATGAGTACCGAACTATCTTTTTTTACCCATCATAACATTGTGCTATACACATTGACATAGAAATATTGTGCTTTACCAAATGATTAGCTATTTCTTTTGCTAATGAAGCAGCATCAAAATCATGAAGACGAATAAATCCTAAGAAATACTCTTTAAGTTCATGTTCATCATCAACAAACCGAACCCAAATAGATAATTGTTTATTATGACTAGCATCTACTGCTTCATCAGCTAATAAAGTATATACATTTCCAGCTAGCTAAAATAATACAATGCTATTTTAATTGAACAAAATCATGATTAGCAAACCGTTTTTCTTACTTTTTTAGAAATTCTATCTTGTATTTGATTTGCCATAATGTTCAATAACTCATTTTGAATTTGATGTGACAAATAAGTAGCATTACTTGCACTCTCTTCTAGTATAGCTTTTGCTAATGGATCAGTTGTTGATGACCACTTTAATATCTCGATCAGATTTCCACGATTAAGTGAACTGAAAGTAGAAAACAGAGTTTTTTAATTATACATTGACACGAATAGAGTGGTAACCAAATTAACTTACTCAAGACTTTCATCATGACCACGAAGAGATATACATTGCTTTGCGCATAACAAAATTGCTGAACTAATTTTTATCAGTTTATTACGATTTTGACGAATTAGTTCAGCTCTTGATTTATCAAGAATATTAAGTACAGTTGTTCCAGATTGTTGACGTGATTGATATTCAAAAAAATTTGCAGTTGACATTATATGTGCTTGACTGTTAACGTGTTTGTTAAAACCTCTGTCCTGTGCCAAAGCACGCTTCCAATTATTAAAGCCTTGCGCGGTGAACACATCTTTTGTAAAACGACTTGATGCAATAAAATGTGAAAAATGACGACAATAGTAACAAAATGTTGAGTCTTTTTCTACTGAGTATTCCAACCAGGGTCGATTTGTGAACCATTGCATCTGAAATGCTCTATTATCTTCATCTTTTGGATAAACTGCTAAATGAGGTTGTGAAGGTGGATCTTGACTTGTTCGACTCACATCACCAGGAAATGATTTTGATGAAGATTTTGATGGAGAACTTGATGAAGCTCTTGATGGAGAATTTTCTTTACTTGATAATGAATGTGTGGAATGAACTACACGTGCATCAACTGAACCACAATCAGATAGAAATGAAGAGTTCAAGTCGTTCGATGTGATAGAAGAAGTAGGTAAGAATGAAGATGATGAACACGACTGATTTGAGATGATGTTTGTGCTACTATTTTCTTCACGAGATTTCTTACTAGATACGAAAAAAGTATCAATAGTAGCATTACGTTTGTTGGAATTTTTTTATCCATAATGTTCCATAACTACTTATAAATGATTATTTGTTTATATCAACAGATTATATATTATAAAATTTGAATCTTTTTTTTTGGGAGCACGACGATTGTGTGTAAGACAATTGTGTGCAGACAATTGTGTGTATGGACAATTGTGTGCAGACAATTGTGTGTATGGACAATTGTGTGTAAGGCAATTGTGTGAATGGACAATTGTGTGTAAGTTACACACAATTGTCTGCACACAATTGTCTTACACACAATTGTCTTACACACAACTGTCATAGACCCTTTTTTTCTTTTCAAACATTCTTCTATTGATCTTTGGCAGACAGCCAATATAATTGAGATGCGGAACCCCTACTTTTGTTGATGAATAATATCGAACGGTGACAGTGACATCACAGTCAAGTGCCTGCGAAAGCTAATTTTCCGGAGGAGCTCAATAGTTTTCCGGGGAAGCTCAGCTCCCCCTAGCTCCCCTGGTGGCTCCGCGCCTAGGTGTTCCAGAGATTCTTATATGGAAACATGTTTTTGTGTACTCAAAAAGTGAGTACACTACTAGAATCGGTCAGTGTGTCCGTCCGTCCGTCCGTCCGTCCGTATACACGATAACTTTCGAAAGGAGAGTCAGATCGTGATGAAATTTTCTACACAGTTCAGTCTCATCAATGTCTCAGTCGAGTTCGAAGATGAGCCTGATTGGACGAGCTCTTCCTGAGTTATTGCAAAAATAGTCTTTTTTCCCTATGGCTTCCTATGCGAAGATCGACCCATCTTGGCTTTCGTAAACAACTTTTCCTATCATAGTCAAATAAATCCCCAATTATTATATACCTTTCGATAGAGAATTTCACGAGCTACAAAATGGTATATAAAACATAAAGTAACAAGAAGGCTAACTCACCTATTACAAAGATAATTAAAGGGAAATGGGTTCCGTTTTTGTCCACAATCTAATTGACTCACAATTCGAGCTCTATCTTACGATCATAGAGTTGATACTTTAAGGTTTTCTGGGGCGGAGAACTTGAATCCGTACTCCACTTGCCTCGAAATATTATTGGTTGAGCAGTGACCAATAGAAATCAAGTTATAGAAAAAAAACGGCTTTCTTAGGGTTAATCAAGGCGAAAAGTTCAAATTG